ATCTATTTCATATGACGAATTTGAGACTTATTCGATACCAGAAAAATGATTTTATAAAAGATTTCGTTGTGGTAAATGTTTGGTTGGCTTGCCTAATACTGTGATAGGCGCCATCACGACCGAGGTATTTGGGGTCGTGACACATTATTACTTGAATTTTGAAGGAGTCTTTAATTTTTCGATTCAGCTCTTTTGTCTCGTAGTTGGGACAAAAACAATTGTTTTCTTTCAGGTGACATTTGTGCATATATAGTATGACGACGTAAATTTCTATCAGCAATTCGTTCTTCCGCATTCCTTTTAGCCTTCTGATGTAAATTCACATTATTTATGTCTCCAAATGTTCCTGCTTAATATAGTTTATACTTTTGTTAAATTAATACTATAGAATATTATAATCTGAAATTCACATATTATATCAAATATTTAAGTTGACGCAAAGTTAGAAGAAGGGTAAAATACTGTAAGAAATAAACAAACGAGAACAAATCCAAATTATAAGAAAGCCTATAGATACTACAATTAGAGAATTTGCACAAGACATTATTCGTATAAACAAATATTATAATTTATACAGAAATATTTCAGAAAAGGAAGATAAAAATACGATTAACTAACCTTCTTGAAGGTGTAATGAAGGATTCGTAATTGTAAGAGCACTTTGCTTTCGAGATTGGCTATCAACTTCGAGAGATGCGACTATTATACTACTTGACTGTTGAAGGAGTGTTTGTTTTTCCGATTTAGCTCTTTTATCTCGTAGTTGGGACAAAAATAATTGTTTTTTTTCGGGTGATATTTGCTCATATCTAGTAGACAGTGCAAATTTCTATCAACAATTCGTTCTTCCGCATTCCTTTTAGCCTTCTGATGTAAATTCAGAGTATGTATGTTTCTACACATTCCTGCTTACAATAGTTTATACTTTTGTAAATTAATACTATAGAATAGTATAATCTGAAAATTATACAGTATATAGAATATTTTAGTTAACGCAAAGTTAGAAAAATAGTAAAATACTCTAGGAGAAAGACATATGAGAACAAATGGCATACATTTGAGACATATTTCTTTAACACAGCTCCAAATGGTAAGAGATATGTTGTTGAGTGGTAATGTCTAGGAGAAGTAAACAGTGTACCTTTTGAGTTGTTGACAGATGAATTAGAAGTGCATAGTGCGGCAGTAGTAAAAGTCAACTTGATCCTGTACAAAAGTACATCATTTACCATATATGTTATGCATCGATAAAGTTGTAGTTATAACCAGGTAAAGTAATCTCAATACTCAATTACCGGGTGCTTTGGAGATAATATAATTAGGCACATGGTGATTAAAAATGTTTTGTGTATGAAGTGCAATTAAGTGATTTTTCCAGTAACAAATACGCCATTAGAAATGGAGACTAAATTGGTCTTCATTCACCAAAAAAGACTAAATACACAACCAAACATATTGCCATTTACCTTATAACGTCATCCTTCCATGTGAAGTTAATTTCTCTGTGATATTCTCTTGCTTTATCTGATTCTAGTTTATGTTCTTGAGTGGTATACTTCTCTGCTCACTAACCTTTCATTACCTCACTTAAAAATAAGAGTACAAAAGTAACTCACCTTTATTTATGCTGGGAATTACTTACGTAGGTAATAAAAAACTATATAGTAAACCAGTAAAAATACACAGATGATATAACTTTTGACCGATGAATTCATTTAAAAATATAGTCTTGGTATATGTGGCTTCAGCTACACAAAAAGCACAAAGGTCTTAGCAGAAAAATAGCCATTCAAAATTGAAAGGAAAAATCATCAGCAAATTTGAGCTTAACAATTAAGGAATAACACAACTACATCAATATAAAAACTAAAATTCGATCAGGTCTTAAAGAAATCGAATTAGTACACCAGTTTTAATAGCACAACAACTTTTTTGTCATCCCAGGCGGCACTTCTTGTGCCTGAACTTGTGGGCGCTAAGGATAGCAAAAAGGGTCATTCTCAGAGCTGACAGAGAGAGAGAGAGATGGCGAATTACGGTATAATTAGATGTATTTAAATTTGTCAATTGGACTCAGAGACACACTCATCCATAAATATAAAATTAACACACTTTTTAAGTTTTTCCTCTGATTGAATCTAGCAAAGAAAACGATAATTCTAGAATTTTTGTACTATCATATCTAACCAATTAGTACAATTTTTATTGCATGACTTAGTAGTAAGCAAAACTTTTTAGCTCTAAAATGTAGTAATATTTAATAAAGCCCATACCAGAGACAATATGGAACTTATAACTGAGAAATTTAGAAGTTTAAAAAAAAAATCCTACGTTCAGGTGCATGCATGTATAACACTGGCAAATATACAAAGCAAGAGGGAAAAAAAAGCCCGAACAAACTCGTGGAAAGAACACTGCAGTAGAAGCAACCAAACTAAAGTAAAATCACACTATAAGGACAAACAATCAGAAGTAGAGAACCTGGGTGGGTTATTTGTCAGAAAGAATTCGTTTTTACTCCTTAACAGGCTATGCCGATTGTATCCTCAGATTTAGTAGTTTATAGAAATAGTGAGGGCTGAAGAAAGCAGGACACAAAGCAGTTCGTAGAAGCAACAATGGAGCAACCAATTCAAATTGCAATTAGAGTAGAAATTGATTGCTGCCAGATTCAATAGAAGCAGAGAAGTTGGTTCGTTTTTAACGGAAGAAGTAGCAGCTTCTGGAAACAATGGGTCTCAAATATAAATGAAGGAACAAATTCAATTACCAATAAACCCTCAAGGGAAAGCTTTTTAGTAAACCTAGAGGGGGCAAAATAGACAAAGAGCAGCTAGGCAAATGTGTATTTAAGAACATTAATTATGTTGAACATTAGAGGAGAAAGAAGAGAAATTGTTTAAATTCCTTTTACACTGGCCAACGTTCAGGTGAAAATCCAACTGATCTTGTTTTAATTTGAAAGTAAGCTCCTCGCATAAAATAACACTTGATAAAATAATTTGACTCGATTGGAAAGTAAAATAGCAGTTGCTAATAATATCCATCGCAATTAAACTTGATGCGCTCACATATCATATTATTTTAAGTGCTGATAGGCAAAAGAGGTGGTGACATTACATAAAAATTGTGGACAATTCAGCAACATACACCGCAGAACTGTACCATGTCTGGAACTTAATTAATGGTATGAAGGCTTTCTTGGGAGTTCTTCTTTTACTTAGTTTTCTGTGGCTTGTATTCAATGGGAGTTTAGCCAAGCAGGCAACAGTTACCACCAAAACAATCAATCATTTAGATGTTTGGAAGCAAATAGAAAGGTGCATGCAGTAGAGTAGATGGATGCTGCAGTTAGAATTTGTTAATTGGTCTAAGTGGGAGAATTATTTACCTAGACTCCAAATGGCTAAGGATTGGCGGGCCCGATAAAATCACATATTCCAAACAATCAAGAACATATATGCCTTGTGGTAAAACAGAACTACAAAAGAACATATAAGAATCTTCTTTGGTAAAACATTTGTGCAGAAAATTGTGAAAGATGATAAACTTTTTAAAGAGTTCCTAAATGCTTGAATTATCAGGAAAATGAAAGCATATAAAAATGACAGTTGATTTAGCATGTCTACTAAAGATTTCATCTTTCTTCATTTTAAAAGGCGGCATGGAATAATCTGTGTGATCTTAGGAACCTGTTGCAGTAGTTCCTTTACCAAATTCCAGAATATGAAGTACACATCAGTGATACCAAAATCAATATTGGCATTCACATGTGATTGCACAGGGCGAAAGACAAAGCACATTATCGAAATAACACTGTCTCATCTACCATAACGGCACTACAGAGAGGCACTTCAAATACTAACATTTTATAAATCTCAGAATTCATACAAATAAGAAACGTCAAATTTAAGTAGATGGAAATATCTACTAAGATCAATTAATCTTATGTGGTTAAGGTGAAAGTTATTTCAAGTTATTTATCAGAAAGTGGTAGATTGTTCTACTTGTAAATCTGGAACATTGAGGCAGCAATAAACTTGTATAACCAGTGCGTGATCGTTCACCACTATCCAGCGAGGCGGTACCATTCACCTCAGAATGCCAAAAAGTATTTTGTGCAGTAACCCAAAAGCCCAAAATCCCAAAATAAGCTGCTACATCCTATTCGCAGTTAGAAGTGGGAGGAAATAAGAAAATGTAAGCTACATTATGTTTGTATCAAAGCAATTTAGAATCTAGGGGAAAGAATCAAATCTCAAGTACAGATACACAAGAAGACATGCCTTTTTCTTTCTTTTTGATGGTGTGGATGGTTCTAATTTCACCCCAGCATGGGAATAGTCAGATACCACAGCTGTTGTTTACGTTTCTATATCAGTTGACCCAAGAGGTTTGACTTTCTTTTTGTTCCTCTCACCAATACTGGGTTGAAAGATGTGCTCTTTTTTCAACATAGGACAAAACGGATAGACTTGCATGCATGCTGTTGTAACCTTTCCAGGATGATTTTCTCAGTTGAACGCGAAAGATTCTGTCTGAAAGCATGTGCTGTACATGCTTAATGGGCAGGAGTTGTTTCTGTAAGTAGAAGAAGTCAATCCTTAGGTCTAAAATACTCAGTAAAAGGAAGCTAATAAGTACATATAGACGGCATTTTGTATAGTAGAATGATTCATCAATGCATGTACAACTTCATCTGAAATAATTACAAATTAATAATTTCTCTATATACCTTGGCGCATGTTGTGTCAAATACACTACAAAAAAGGCATGAAATTGCGGCGGTTTTAATTTGGCAGTTCCTTAAAACCGCCACAAATACAATAATATTGTGGCAGATATCCATCCGCCATATTAAACATTCCGAAAGCGGCGGTTTAATTTATGTTGAGGCGGGCTTTAACCGCCTCTACTTTTATTTTGATTTTAAACATATTTTTAGCTTTATTCCCAAGACGCTAATAATACCTCAACACTCACAAATTAGGTATCCCCCTCTCTCTCTCACACCACAATAAAAACCTTATTCTCTGCGTTCTGCTTCTCTTCCTCTTCCTCTCACCAAATCTCGCGCAAATCATCGTCGGCGTTTCACCAGTTCATCGTAGCCGGCGACTCCTTTTCCCCTCCTTTCTGTCTCCTCTTCTCGCCAGGTCTTCCACGAAGCTCGCAGGTTCAACCATGTCTCTCTATTTTCCTCAAGTTTTTGCTTATGTCTGTGTAGGTATTTGTGTGGATCTACGATTTCGTTGTGGTTTTGTGATGCTCTGTCACTTTTATTGTTAGATCTGTTCTTAGCTTGCTATTTTATATATCTGGTATCGTAAGGAACGAATTTGCTAGAAGTCCTTCAAGGATGCGAGAACCCTTAGTTGCCCGTTCGAAGATATATTAGCATAATGTATACTGAGGGTTGTAGAGTGGTCGTAACTAGTTTAGGATCAAGACTTAGTGATTGATTAAACAAAGAGTTGTCTGTGGGAATTGGCGTTTCACGATCATTTATTTCTATATATCCTTATGCCAGCTATGGAATTCTGCTTGTTGAATTATTAAACTAGTCTGCTTGGATTAATTTCAGTATGATTTGGCATGCTACTATATCCTTTTTTTTTATTGCTTTTAACTAGGCGGTGCAAACTGGCTCCAAGATATTAGTTTGGTTTTTATTGAACAGTTGGATAAATAGGTTAACGTTTCTATCCATTTAGTTGACTTTCTTGCATAGTGTGATAGTGTAGTTTTACAAATTAATCATAAGTTGCCTTGATTTGGGGAATAGTAGTTGTTTTGACTTTAGAGTCTAGTTTGCGGTACATAATGTGTATTATTAATGAAATAGCATTTGTTTTTCATTTAAGTGTATCCTCGAGCCTTAATGTACCTAGTAATGCAATATTTTAAGTGAGAAGTTGACACAGTTAAATGTTTAAGGTTGATATTATTTTGATGGCACGATGTTTCTTTCTTTGTACCTTCTCTTTCAGGCCAAGGCTATATTGAGTATTTTGTTAACATACTCTTGTTTGTTTATTTTACTTGGGATATCTTGTAGGACAGGTATTGAGCATAAGTTCCTCAAAATGTAAGCAAACGAAGTGTCCTTTTCTGTGTCTGCAGTTTTAAATCTTGGCTTCTAGATTAGGATGTTTCACGCATTTCGTGTTCTTTCCTGAAATGGAGTTTCGAACAATCCCATGCTGAAATGCTAATTCTAAGTTCCATCTTGCAATTTTTTCAGATATTACCGCAAAACACATGGGCGTATTCTCGTGGCAAAATTGACTGAACTGAAGAAGTTGATTTGTGTAGAAGGTATTATTTGTCTGAATAATTTAGAGGTTGTTGTTGTGCATATTTGGTAAAACTTATATTTGACCAAAAGATTTTAACTTTGCTTTATTTGTCTTTGTTTTTATGTTCAAGAAAAGACAGTTAATCTAATAATTAGTATTTCCTCACAATTTAAAAGATGAAAAAAAGTAAGCTCTACATGGCTGATTTTGTCGAAGGACCTAACATGAGCTTCAATTCTTTGAGTACATATGTCTAGTAGATTCTCAAACCATGAGAGGTTCAGTTAGTTTGGATGGAGGTGCTTAGAGTTGCCTTAACCAACATTCCTTTCATTTATGGTTTGACTGTTATTCCAAATCCTCTCAAATTCAAAAAGAAAAACAAAATCCCTTGTTAGGCGCTTTCATTATGTTGTAAAATTCAGGCCATTTGTGTGACTTCTTTGCTTATGTGTATCAATGTTAAAATGTTAAATTGTGATAGCATGTTGAAATAAGCACTTCTCTAGTTATTTATTTTATATGTTTGATCCCTTTATGAATGTTTGAGAACCTTATCAGTGCTACTTTCGGTCGTGAAAAGTGTACTGAAATTCCTCTTCTTCATCTTTCTATCTTCTACCTTTGGTTTTGATCTTTGTTTGTTTCCGATTTTCATGCTGAAGTTTTGAGGAGCATGATAAATTAGTTGAAGTTCATGTCTATTTTTTGGTGCGAGTTATAAGCATAGCAACGCTACTGAAGTTGATATCAACATTCTGCGTTCTGAATAATTAGAGCTGCATTACGTGTCTTGAATTATTCTTCCGATCATTGCATTACCCCCCTCCCCCCAAAAGAAAAGCTGCAAGCAGACTAATAGAACATGAGAAGAAGATGGTGGAGATAATGAGAAATATGATGTGTTGTATAAGTAGTTTGACATCTATACTCAGATATTAAGATTGCTGAAGAGCTCATGCGCTATTATCTTGCTAATTTTAAAACTTCCCAAAAAATTGATACTATGTCAGTTTATGTTATGCATTGTTCAGGTTCCTGGCAACCTTGCCATATCAGCTCGTTCGGCAGCTCATTCATTTGATGCTTCTCAGATGAACATGTTACATGCAATTTCTTGCTTTTCGACTTTTCGTTTGTTAAGACAATGTAAATAATGCAAAAATATGATCATGACTCAGATATGCAAAAAAAATTTCAATTACTTTAATCCACTAGATTGGACATTTGGGTCAATTGTTGGATTCTTCTTAGCTTTAATTTGGGTTTCCTGTTGAATTGGCATTCACATTTAATTTGAGTTGATCAATAACTTTTGTGTTCTCTGATTTATATGGTGCCCATTATTAGGAGTTGAGTTAGACCGAAAGAGTATTTGCTTCTTACCCACATTTACATATTTAACTCTCTTCATGTGAAGCAATCTTTTTATGCAGGGAACAAGAAATTAGAGCTGCTGAGGGAATGATCTTTGGAAAAAGAAATTATGGGAGATGAAGATGAGTTCTAGAAATTAGTTATTGTTGTGTTTTTCTTTAAAGGGTGTAAATGGAAAATGGAAGAGGCACCTTTTGGATTGCACCTCTCCATCTCACCCTTCCTTTGTCTATAAATTTAGAGGCTTGGCCTCATTTTTAAGATATGGAAAAATCTGAAAATTTCTCCCCTCTTTTCTATTTGCTATTATTTTTAAACTAAACTATAAGTGTCAAGTGTGATTTGCTCCGTCT